AAAGTAAAAAATATAAAAACTTTTTAACTAAAACCTTGAGTGACATTTTTATGATACTTTACTTTAAAAAAAAAAAACTCGGCAAAATATAATTTTGTATAATTTTAAAATTTTAAAAATTCTCATTATTTTACCTATATTTACAAATTATCATTAACGATTTTTAAATTTTATATGCTATAACTTTTTCAAAACTATAATATTTTAATATAATATAATTTCTAAATCTTATATATATATAAATATTTCGTTGTAAGAAAAATATTATAATTGAAAAATATTGTGAAACTATGCAGAAATAAAAATTGCGAAAAGAAAGAATGGTTCATAACTGACAGGGGTATTAGCATAATAAGTAGATGGTAACAGCTAAAGAAGGGTTCATAACTGACATGTTAAGTCAAGTCAGGTAACTGTTGCTCTGACACATTCACTCTCCAGAAGCAACCAACTACAGAGTGCCAATTCGTGAAACCCATCCAATCCAAAGTGCACGTCTGACCAAGAATAAGTAACATCTCATTTTTCCAAATACAAATACAAGAAAAGGGGTGCATTTCGGTTCCCCATGTTCTAATAAAAATGAACAAGTTATATTATTTATATAACACAATTTTATAGTAACGTTATTATAAAAATATACAAATTTAATCTCTTGAAACAAAAACAACGTCTCTCCCCACATCATTTGACCTACATTACTCCACCTTTAATCTATAGGGCATTGCTAGTGTCAGATACAGTTTTTATTTTTGGGTACAAATCGTAGAGGTGAGGTAGGACTGTAAGAGATTTTTTAATTATATAATAGGAAAAATCTATATCTTATTTTTGTAATAATTAAATTTATTAAATATTTTATATTATTAAAAAATTAAAGTTATAAGATATTATTACGTGTTTTTTGGTAGATAAGATATGATTACGTGTGAACCATGTAGAGTATTATTTATTGTTATAAAACTGACACGTGTTAGATATCCTATAAGTATTCCCTGCCAATTGGATGATGATTAATGAATGACTGACACGTTTTAACACTTTCTTAGTTTCATATTTAATCCAACGAATATATTTTGGTCTAGATAATACGGAGTATTTCACCCAAATAAGTAAAGACATTGCCATGGTTGTGTACTTTACCCCTTCCTTCATCGCATCACATTACAGAACATTTAGTAAGTGGAGTTGGAACAGGATAAATAACCATTGGAAATAAAAATAATGAAAAATAATAATAAAATGAAATAAAAATAAGTAATAATAGTATATAAATAACACTAGTTTTAATTAAATAATGAAACAAACTAATATAGGAAATAAATAAAAAATTTATTTTTGAGAAATTAAAATTATTAGAAAATTAAAACTTTATTGAGGTCATAGTTTTTTTTTTATATTATTTGTATGTATCGTAATTACTTTTAATAAATTAGATGATATTAAAAGTATAGTATGAGAATTTGTTGTGATTTGATAATTCATTAACGTCAGGTCTATCACATTAGAGGATGTGATGAGTGATGAGTGATGGAGCAGTTATTTTGAGTTATGAATGTTTAGAAGTTTGAAGGGAAAATGATGTACCATAAATGGGAGTTAACAAATGGTTTGAATGTGGGTGCAGAGACGACAGAATAGCACGGGGGCATGGTTGTTAACGAGTCTTTCATGTGACCCGAGACCCTCCCTAATCCCTATTCTATATGCCTATTCCCCTTTCATCTACGGAAAGCCATTTTTCCCGTCAAAAGGTGATATAATATCATCACTCATTTCCCTCACCATTCTTTGCCCTTTTTCTAGTACAAATAACTTTTATGTCATCTGTTTCTTTAAAAAGAAAAACAAAAAACTCTCTTCTACTTTTTCAATCATATAAACACTTGTATCAATTTTTTTAATTCTTTTTATATAAATTAGCTTTATAACTAAATGGACAATCAACTGAAATCACTTCGTTTAATTGTTTCTTAAAATGGTATTTATATTTTTTAAAGATTTTAATTAACTATGTTAAATTTGAAAAGATAAAACATTAGTGCGTCTCTCTTTTTGTTTTTTCTTCATAGAAAGATCGTGATTTTATTCATCTTACGTCATTAGGACAAATAGTTAATTCAACAGGAAAATTAAAATAAAGCTATAAATATAAGTTGTAATTTTCTAGAGTACACAAATTTGTTTAGGTGATTAAGTAACCTTTACCACCTTACTCCAACCATGGTTTATAAAAGAACTGTACCGATGGAAAAGCAAATTAACTTTAAATTCAAATTTATGCTTGAATAAATTAGTTTATTTATGATAGTAATATATATTTTACATGTCTTTTGACACTGCTGAATTGTTGAATAAAATATTAAAATTTACGTGAACCGTGTTAAATAACGTGTGTGTTATCTATCATTTAATAGGATTTTTAAAGAGGATATATATACACTTTTTATTTAACGTGATTAGGAAAAGATATTAATTTTAAAGAAAAATTATAATGAAACTTATGTACTACTGCAGAATAAAAATATCATTTAACTAAATAAATCTTTATAAATTATTTCTTTCTCATCCAATTTAATTTAGATTCAACCTTATATAATAGATAAATTTATTATTGAATTTTTTTTTTATACAAAAGAACTCAAATCTAAAATTTTCTAAAAAAATATTAAACTATTTGACATTTAGCTCAAACTCCGCTAGTTATTATTATTATTATTATTAACTCACTTTAACCATAACTAGTTATATAATTTTATAAAAACTTGCACCAAACAAAAAAAAATAGGAACCTAGATTGTACAAGTGAAATGATAATTTATAGTATATGTTTCTTCTTTTATATTTTTCTCAACATTTTTGTTACTAAATAAAATTAACGTGAACCTTGATAAATAATATGAATTTTTTTATTGATTAACGGAATTTATTAAATATTTAATAATAAAAAATATATCAAAATACTAATAATGTAAAAAAAACAACTATAAATTATCACATGAATATGTTTTTATTTTTTTATTAATTTAATTAAAAAATATATTTACAATATAATTTTATTAATTAATAATGTAAAAATATTTACATTAATAATATACAAATTTTATTTTTGTTTAAAATGTATAACTCGTTTTATAATTTATTTAATTTAATTTAATTTTTTAACTTTTTTATATGTAAAAAATTACCAAAATATAATACTTTAGAAAAAAAATTATTAATAGTATTTTTTGATATTTAAAAAAAACACTTTTTTATTGATTTTATTTTTTCAAATCACCATGAGCGAATTTTTTTTTTTTTTAAAATAGTAGTTTATAATATAATTTTATATTATTCCCTTTCTGAATTATTAAATATTACATTTTTATAATTTTTTTAAAAGTGTCATATTTTAATATATGTCATTTTTAAATATCATATTAAAAAAATAATTTACCTTTCAAATCTCAATTAAATAAATATTTTTTTAACTTTGATTAAATAAATAAACCATTCAATTAATATAAAAAGTGATGAGAAAATATATATACTTTTCATTTAATTAAAAGAGATTAATTGTAAAGAAAAATTATAATGAAACTTATGTATTATTTCAGAATAAATAGATCATTTAGCTAAATAAATTTTTATTAACTTTTTTTTATTTAGTTTAATTTTAATTTGACGGATGTAATAGACGAGTTTATTATTTAAAATTTTTTACATATAAAATAATTAAAATTTAATTTTTTTTAAGAGATATTAAACTATTTAACATTTGGATCAATATCTATTGATCTTTGTTATTATTATTAACCCAGTTTGACTATAATTAGTTATATAATTTTATAAAAAATTGCACCAAACAAAAATAAAATAGGAATATAGATTATAGAAGTGCAAGATAATATATAATATATGTTTCTCTTTTTATATTTTTTTCAACATTTTTGTTACTAAATAACGTGAATCTTGAAAAATATTATGAATTTTTTTATTGATTAATGGAATTTATTAAATATTTAATGAAAATATATAATAAAATACTAATAATGTAAAAAATAACTAAATTATCACATCAATACATTTTTATTTTTTATTAATGTAATTTTAAAACATATTTATAATATAATTTTATTAATTAATAATGTAAAAATATTTACATTAGTAATATACTAAAATTGTTTTTGTTTAAAATGTGTAACTCTTATTATAATTTATTTAATTTAATTTAATTTTTAAAATTGTTTATATGTAAAAAATTACCAAAATATAATATTTTAGAAAAAATTACAAATATTTCAAAATTTACCAAAAAATATTAATAGTGTTTTTTGATATTTTTAAAAAATAATTTTTTTATTGATTTATTTTTTTTAAATCACCATGAACGAATTTAGATTTTTTAATTTTAAAATATTTTTAAAAAATTAGTAGTTTATAATTTTATATTATTCCCTTTCTGAATTTTTAAATATTACATTTTTATAATTTTTCTAAGAGTATCATATTTTAATATATGCCATTTTTAAATACCACATATAAAAAAATAATTCACCTTTCAAACCTCAATCAAACAAATAATTTTTCTAACTTTAATTAAATAAATCAATCATTCAATGAAATATAAAAAGTAATAATAGTATCAATTTAAAAATTAAATAAATAAATAAAATATAATTATAAAACTTATTTGATTAATATCTTAAAAAAATAAAATTTTAAAAATTAATCGAAAATAAAGAAAAAATAAAAACAAAACACTGAGAACATATTTAATTTATTTTTAAAAATAATTTTCTATTTTTAAAAATAAATATTAATGTATATTACAATTTATTTTTAAAAATAAAAACCTACTTTTAAAAAGGAATTCAAACGTACATGAATTTTCCTTTTATCCGTATTACTCACCTCATTAACCATACATTAAGTGGTAATACCCTTATGACCTTTGGGATATGAGGAGGGGACACTTGTTCTCCATAAATGGCTAAACTTTCTTTTCCACACTCCCATTGTCTCTCTCTTACTCTGATTGGTGGCTTTCTCTCAAAGCTGGAAACCTCTCACAACTAGTCACAAGCCAAACAAGCACCAAAACCAACGCCTTCCCCCAATAAGGAAAGTAAAATCCACAAGTACAATCCAGCGACCAATTCCTCACTCACCTAAACTCTCACATCTCACCGTATAACACACACACACAAATTTCTCCCAGGACTCCACAATTTTCTTCTCCATCTTCTCGAAAGCTAAATTTAGTTAAATGCCTGCCTATTAAAATTTCTGCTACCCTCACACTAAACAAACACCCTTTGCTTTTGCTTTTCATAAAACACGCCATATATAGTCAACGACTCAGCCTTCGCTTGCTTTTGACTCGTCCTTTTTTTAGGTGGGTTTCTTTAATTATATGTTGGTTCGTTCCGTGGTTCGTATGCAACGCACCCAGTAATCAAAGAGGCTAAAGCTGTTTACTTTCTTTTTCTGTTTTCTTGTTTAACCAAATGGGGTTAGATTAAGGTGAAGGAAATTAATGGCGAGGGAGAAGATTCAGATTAGGAAGATCGACAACGCCACGGCCAGGCAAGTAACCTTTTCCAAGCGACGCAGAGGGCTCTTCAAAAAAGCTGAGGAGCTTTCGGTTCTGTGCGATGCTGATATAGCCCTCATAATCTTCTCTTCTACTGGCAAGCTCTTCGAGTACTCAAGTTCAAGGTCTTTCTTTTCTTTATTATTTACATCTTCTCCCTCGCTTTCTTTCTCACTCTTTTTTATGACTGAAAAGGGTTGATGGGGTTTCAGTGTTAGATCGTGTGTTTTTTGGAATTTTTTTTGTTTTGTTTTGGGTTGATAATTTAGATTAGGCTTTATATATTATGGTTTGGTTAACAAGAATTAAATCAGCTAAGTTACATATGTAAAGACATTGTAGCATACTAAGCGTGATGGTATGTATGTTTAAGTTGGTTCTGCCATGGATGGTAAATATAGATAGTGAGTTTTCATTTAATCTGTTTAGTTAATGGAAAAAAAAAAGAGAGAAAAAAAAAACGAAGACGGCACTGTTTTGGAAGCTGTGTTATGTCAGTGCTGACTTCTGAGATTGTTCATAGTTGTAATGCGGTTATATAATTCTTCTTAAACATTTTTGTGGGTTTGCTTCAAGCATGGTTATCAGCTTATCGTGTTTGCTTTCTATTTCTGTTTACTGTCTAGAAATCCTCCTTTGCTTCCTTGTTATAGTAGTTTTGTTGCTTGATTTGATCCTTCGGACCTTTCGTGAGTTATTTGAGTTTAGATGAAGAAAGAAAACGATGACCATGCCTGAAAATGCATTGAATTAGATAAAAATTTGGTCTATGTATGTATGGAAAATGTGCAGTTATTACGCTAGCTTTATAGCTTTTTAAACAAAAGTTGGGTTGTGTACAAGTGTTCCTTATGTTGGGAAAAGAGACATTTCTTTGTATTCTCTGTCTGGGAACACTCAAAAAAGAAAAAACAAAATAAAAATATTGACATACATCTTTAATGTGATTTGGCTTATGTTTATAAAATTTTAACATAATTTTATTATTTTATAATTTTTATCAGATAAAATTGCAAACCCTATCTTCATCCATAATTGCTCAAATTTTCACCACACTCAAAGGATTAAATATTATTTCTAAGCAAGGTTATAATAAATCTTCATATTTTTTAGTATTTTTTTATCATTTCCTTTTCCAAGTTTTAGGATGTGAATTGAATTAATTAATCTTCTTTAGTCCAACATATTTTCCTTCCAACTCAAATTTAACATATATTTATTTTGCGATCAACTCTTATTTTAATCTTCTTCAATTCTACTATAATTCTCTCTTACTTTAGGACTCAATCTATTAGATAGACTTTTCTTCAATTAATGATGATAATGCACTCTCAATTGTTCATATTTTGCATCTTCTTGTATAAGTTAGAAGTTTGTTTTAAGTTGAGTCATCAATACTTTGATAAGAGTTATTGGAGAAAGAGGGTTTTATGCATTCTTTATATCTAAAATAACTCACATAAAAAGAGAAAAAAGGACAACAACACAAATATTTAACAAGTTTGATACTATTTGTCTATATCTGTAATTTTTTAATATGATTTTATTATTTTGAGATCTTTGGCCCAATCAAATTACAAATTTTCTAGGTATAATTGTTGAAAAGATGAAATTGCAAACTCTTTCATGACATATAACTACTTAAATTTTCTTTATATCTTGAGAACTACAGGCTACTTTAATAAGAAATTTTATAATAAATTTTTATACTTATCCTATTTTTTTTTTTTATCAAATTTTGAATTTAAACATGCCACTTGAATGAATAAAATCATTTTAACTCAACTCAATGTTGAATTTGTTATTCTAAAGCATATTAATCTACAGATTTTGTTCTACTGCGTTTTGTGATACGTTAATTTGTTCCACTCATAATAGATGCTTTGTACTATGATTTTAGATTTTTTTTTAATAAGTTTTTATAAAAGTAAAATATTAAGTATTAAAATAAAATAAATTTCTCTAATAAGTTAAAATAAATTAATAAATTATTTTGGTTACTGTCTTTAAAACTTTACGAGTATAAATTATTTTTAATTTTAAAAAAATACTATTTATTTTATATTAATATTTTCCTAAAAATTTATCAAAATAATAACCGAAGTGAGTCTTTATTTAGTGGTGTAAAGAATGTAATTAGTAAATTTAAAATTAGTTATCCTATATATAACACAATAATTTGTCTGAAAAAGGTACATAATCAAACCTGACAATTTTGAGAGAACTGACTAAAACAGTCACTTTAAGAAGGATTTCTTGTTTGGACCAAACCAGCCTATCTCAGATCATTTAACTGGTCTAAATCTATCGTATCACTCTGCATAATTCCAATGCACAAAGTAATGTGAATCGTTCAGTTTTCATTTGTTTTTATGCAAAAATTTCGGAATTATATAGATATAGGTTATGTTCATTTAAAATTTTAAAACTAATTTTAAACATTAAATGTTATATACAATTTAGTGAAAATAAATATATTTATTATATTAAAGATTAAAATTATAATAAATATTTTATTTTTAATAAAATCTCATTATTAAGATGCTTAAATTCTAAAACTTAACATTTTCTTATTGAAGGCACGTAGACAGAATAAATTCGTTATGATTCTTTGTGAAGATTTGTTTTTTGGAAAGATAAAAGCTGTTATGTATGGAGCTATATATGTTATACTAGTATATTTCTACTCCCCCTCTCGGTTTTCTATCGCTACATTTGTGGTCATAAGGAAGAAGCTATATTATATGAAGGAAACTTGATGGATATTACTATTAATCCTGGTTTCACGGGGATGGCTATTCACTGTTCAGTAAGCAACATTTCATATCACCACTTCGACACAATTTATTTCATTCTTGATTTAGAGGCCTAGATGGAATATAAGTAGCTTTAAGGTTGGGTGGGGTGGCAACATTGAAAAGAGAACTCTTTTTTCTTCGGAAGTTCTTTGAGCATCTTATTATTGGTCAATAAAAGCAATCTTTTTCTTTCCTAGTTTCCTTGCACCCCACAGTTTCACGAATCACAACTCAAACATGTGTGTGTATATATATATATATATGTTGAAGTGAAAAGACACATCGTGATGTGTAGACCCTCCTACACATTTGATGATCAGATATTTTTGAATTTTCTTTTCGCCTGTTTAGTTTTCTCTAAATATAATCTTCGTTGGAACCCTGTGTTTTACATCTTCAATTTGTGTAATATTAGAAGTAACATAGAGTGTTTTTTATCATCTAAGACAACATGTAATAATATCGTTAATCCTTAATTAATAGAATTCAAGAGGTACCGTAGCTCAGTACAAATATGGCCTATCCACAAGTTATGTTTTTCCCAACTGTTTAAAACATTGTAAAGGACAGCTATTCCAATCTGAAAATGATATCCACATTCCATCAATCTTGTCTGTAATTTTTATTTTTCTTGGGGGCATTCTTCTTGACGTGACTTTGATTTTATCATATGAAGCATGAAGGAAATTCTTGAAAGGCATCATTTGCACTCGAAGAACCTAGCAAAGCTGGAGCAACCGTCTCTCGAGTTGCAGGTTGGTATTTAATTACTTCTGAACTTTGTAAGAAAAAATGATTGGAAAATTTTGGTTGGTGTAATCCCGTTTAAGTGGGAGTTTATAAATGTGTGTGATTCTTGCGTCTTTTTCTTAATCTTCTATCTTTTGACAATCATCTACTTTGACTGATCTTTTGACAATTATAACATGTGATATCAAAGTGTATCGGTAGATCTATTACTGGATAGGCATGCAATGCCGGTAGTTTAAAATGACATAAACTCTGAATTATTAACCCCATTGTTGCATTTTGTCGAATGTATTCGTATTAAATGTTTAGTAGTTATTTGGGTACTTGATATAATTATTTTTTAAACATAATTGAATACCGCTTAAGTATGACTTTAATAAAACTGTGTGAGATACGGTTTGTTATACTTCAAATATTAGCTAAAATTTTTGCTATTTATTGATTTATTTACTTTTATTTAATTGACCTCTGTGTAACTGACCTCAGATCATAAGATAAGGCTTAGCTGATGTTTTTAATCAAATTCATTCATTCTTTTTATGAGATGTATGATATGACCTTGGTTAAATTTTTTATTATGGATATTATCTGAACAGTTTATAAATATTTTATATTTTTATTTCTGTTATGTAAAATTTTTTTAGCACACTTGTATCTTTGATTTATAAGTTTTCCGCTCCCGTCTGTATCTGAAATGGGATTCCTGCAACGTAGCTCACCTTAAGTTAAAATTAAATAATCTATGATAATTTATTTATTGATTGATTTTTATATTAAATGGGGTCAAAGCTTAAAATAAATTAAACAAACATTCTCAGAAGAAATTCTATAAGCATTCGCTTGGAGGATGGGGAAAAAGGGAGGAGGACCACCAGAAATGACAGGTTCCATGAGAAAGAAAGAAAATGTCCCATGTTTGCGAAACATGCTTGATCTGGATAATCAATTATTGAATGAAGAGAAAGCAAGTAAAACTTCAGGTCCCGCTGATTGGTACTCTTCTTCATTAAATTTTGGAGTATTAATTAAAAATAGTTAAATAATTTCTTCATTAAAAATATAATAATAATAATAAATACAATAACGTTTTTATTGAAACTTTTAAACCAATTTTATGTATGACGCGGGTTAGTATTTTTCAAAATTTAATGTAACTCAAGGCTTTTTCGGTTAATTAATGTGATAAAAACGAGTAAAAATTTTCTAATATGAAGGCGAATTATTTTTAGGGCTCCACGGAAGACTGGGATTTGATGTAAATGAAATGAATAATAAGCTAAAATAAAATTTGACCTAGAGTTAAAGTGCAGACTCAGGGTAACTTAAGCTATGAGCTTTGCTCGCAAAAATGATGTTAGTATGTGTTTAGTTTAATTTGTAATACAGTACTCCTTTTGCAACCAATTTTGAGTGGAATAAAGAGTGAAATTTTAATGACAATCAATCATTAATTTCTTAAATGTTGATTGCAGCTAGTTGAAAACAGCAACTGTTCCAGATTGAGCAAGGAAGTTGCTGAGAAAAGCCATCAACTAAGGTGCAAATTTCTCAATTTCGTAACGGATTAGTTTGTGGTGTTTGTTGAAATGTAAAGGCTTGACAATGATAAAAAATGCAGGCAGCTGAGAGGAGAGGATCTTCAAGGTTTGAACATAGAAGAATTGCAACAACTGGAGAGGTCTCTCGAAACTGGGTTGGGCCGTGTAATAGAAAAGAAGGTCTTCAATTGTCGTGTTTTCTCTAGTGCCCTCATGTACAATAACTTGCTTCGTGACTTTATTTAATTAAGACATAAAATCTTTGTGCTTTTCAGGGAGAGAAGATCATGAATGAGATCACTGATCTTCAAAGAAAGGTTAGAAACTTGAGTTTCCATTGTCATTTTTGAGAATCCATACGTTAATGATGAGACATATCAGTATAGTTCTTATGTTGGTTTGCATATATGCCTGTATGCCACGGAACACTCATCTCGTAATTGAAGACACAATTGTTTGTGTTTCTAATATCACAAATCAAAATGCCTTGATTGAGGCTTTGATTTGTTTGATGTCTTCACCTTCATCTTTGATTTTTAATTTTTGTGTGAAGCAACTTCATTTGTGAAAATATGAAATGAATTAGAAATTAGACTAGAATTTTGTAATCTCAATATAATATATAAAGCTGTTCAAACAGGAAATACGGGGCTTCTTTGCATTCCCGCTTCTTGACTGTTGAGTCCCACGTTCTACTCAAATGTTGTAAATAATGTATATAGATATTGTTATTGGTGCTTACTAATTAACAGGATTCATGAAATCATTAGATTGTCAATCAGTGATCTTGTTAAATTAAGTTCTAATTTCTTTCTAATCAACTAACAATATCCCACTGATCCTGCAGGGAATGCTATTGATGGAAGAGAACGAGCGACTAAAGCGTCATGTATGATACCCTTTTTCTTTTTCCCCTCCCTTTATATAGTTTCTGCAACTGGAAATAAAAATTAAGCTGTGTATGTGTGTGTGCTGTGTGTATCACTCAAGGTAACGGGCACTATTAATGGGCAAAGGCTTGGTGGTGCGGATTCAGAGAACTTGGTTATGGATGAAGGTCAATCTTCAGAGTCTGTCACTAACGTGTGCAACTCCACTGGACCTCCCCAGGACTATGAAAGCTCAGACACATCGCTCAAATTGGGGTTAGTCTTCATTCATTTTATCACAAACTAAACTCGTCCAATTTATTCTACTTTCTGCTATATATCATGTCACCAATGCTAATAATTCTTGTGAATGAAGAGAATTTTAAAACGAAACGATTACTTTTTCTAATAATAATTTTAACCAAACTTGCACAAAGTGTATTTGAATCATTTTATATCAGAAAACATGGGAAGTTCTTCTATTATTATTTTTTAACTAAAATTTATAATGCAATACTACATAGCTTATATATATATATATATATAATATAATATCTTAACTTTGCTTAAGTTAACGCTTTCGTGTACTTTCAGGCTTCCATACAACGGATGAAGGGGAAGTGTGTACGGAGTTAAAACTTACTAGAAAAGATCAACAAAAATTATGGTCTAAATTTCGTTAATGGTAATGACTAATATGTCCCCGTGGAGTGGTGGTAGTATATATTAGTACTGACTCGTGGCTATTGTAGGGTAATATCACTTAGCAATTGATTTAAAAAAGTAACTCCAAGTGCCAAGTAATGTTTTTTAATTGCATTTTAACCGTGTAATCCTTGCTTCTTCCACTCTTTTCCCGTTGTATACTTTGATTAGAATTGTTGAAATGATTATGGATCTGTTTGGTTAACAATGTAAACTGAGCTTGTCCATATAAAAAGTAAAATCACTTTCTAACATTTTTCAAGCAAAAATTCATGGAGAAAAAGTAGTTTTAATGTGTTAAAAGTAGGCAAACATGTATCCAAACATGGGTGCGCATGGCACAGTATTGAATTGTGTTATACTGTGTCTTCTAGTCACCTTGTCCTGCATATATAGTTTTTTTCGACATCTCGAACTGTGCTTTGTGAATTTTGACTTTGGTATGATTTCAATGTTTAGGAGAGCAGGTTTTGTTTTTATTTGTTAGATTAAATATTTAATATTATTTAAAGTAGAATAATAAAAAAAATATTTTTTTCCTAAAAAATATAATTTTTAGAGTGAGAATTTTATAAAAATGGAAATAGAAAATTTAAAATATTTAGAGCATGTTTAATTTTTATTTTAAAAATAGTTCTCTGTTCTATTTTTAAAAATAAAATATAATGCAAAATTATATTAAATTTGATTTTTAAAAATAGAATTTTTTTTAAATATAAATTAAGCATGCTTTTAATTTTTTATTTTTAAACAAATTTAAAAAGATAAAAAATTAAAAAATCTTTTACACCTTTTCATCCAAACTTAAAACAAATCCGTAATATTATCACAATATCCAAACGTCACTGACCTTCCGGTCACTAGCAAGCCTCCTTGACTTTCATGATTGAGAACAATACTCGTAAAACATTTTTAAAAACCCTTCAATTTATTCATTATAATTTATTTTAAAAAAGATTGTTTCTTAGATCATTTAAATATTTTTTTAAAATAATTAATGAAATTAGAGCTCGTATGATTTTTTAAAGTTAAAAAAATACTGTTAATCTATTATTGATTAAGTTTTTTACAATAACTAAAATTTTTCACTTAACATGTCTCTTAAAATTGAATGCATGGGCCTAAACTCATGTAACCCATTTAATGAATGAAAGGGGCTGAAAGCGCAGACTTATTTCTATGGGTTTGGACTTTGGACCGATATTATTTTACAATAACTAAAATATGTACACTTCATAGTGTATATATATTGTCCTTCCTTTGATAATTTAGTAATAAACCAGAGGTACGTAAAATAGGTCATTTTTATAATTGTCACCATTAATTTTATATCAACATTGAATGGGTTAGAAGTTTATTTAGAAAAAATGTAAATATTTTTTAATTTTTAAAATATTAAAAAAATTATAATTTTCTGTCTAGAAAAGTTATAAAATGATTTCCCAAAATTATAATGAATGATTGTGCAAGGCTTGTAATGTATCTAAAGTGTCAGTTGTTGCTGCAATTGTTAATCTGTGGGAAGCCAGATTCGAGCCTTGTAATGAGGTTTGAGCCATTCAATCCTTAATACCATTACCAACGGGAATACGCAATAGCCATGTCCTTAGTTCTCATGTTTAATTTCTTGAAACCTCTTATAAGATTAATCATTTGATTTTTTTCATGTTTTGCAAATTTAGATTAAATAGGGTTGATTGCATCTTCCAGCATAATCGGGATAATTAACGTTGTTATGTAGTATTTTCAAGTATAACTTGAATTATTACCTAAAAACCTTGGGGAGATCTGCAACTCTCATTAAGGGTCATTATTACAAGTATCGATTAGACATCTAGTGGGTTGAAATGGTTCTTAAAGTTGAAGTTAAGTTGCTATATTGCCAGAAGTTGGATTCGCTGAAAGTCAATTTAAAGGTACATGACCTTTAATAAAATTTCTTATAGAGCATTTTAACAATATGGAATATAATTTTTAATAATTGTTCAAAATTTACTTTTCTTATCTTTTGTAATACAAATCAGTTATTTAATTTGTATAATGGAGTTTATAAAGTAATTTTTTAGTTGATAATATAATTATATTATTCAATCTTCCCTGAAATATATTTGAATGCAAATAAGACATTTTAACATTAATTTTAAGAAAATTATGAGTTACAGTAACATAAATAATTAATAAACTTCTACAAATTATTGATATATTTGAGAAAGATTCTCTTTCTTTTTTTTTGTAAATTTTTATGTTTTAGTTAGTATTTTGATTATTGATTTATAAGATCTTTTAAATTCCATTATTTAAAAAAACTATGAAATTTATTTATATTTTTTTTGGAATGTGTGTGTATAAAGAAAGTTTAATTTGGATGCCTATTATTTTAAAATTTTTATACAATTTCTTTTCTTGTAAAGTTGGGAGAAATAGGAAAGAGTTAATTGTTTTGGAAAAAAAATTTCTCATTTTAAATCCAAATTAGGTAAATTGGTTATAATATTAATGCTTTCCTTAACAAGAAAGAGAAATATATAAAATGTGAGTAAAAATGTAATATTTTTAAAATTATTTATATTTATAGGAAAAAATAAAAGCAAAATGAAAGAAAGATTAATTATATTCAAAAAAATATATCCTTATATAAAAAAACTCAATTATTTAAATAAAAACAATCTCTTTACTTGCCTTTCTTTTTTTCATAAATTTGAATTACGTTAATGGTATTATAAAAAACTTGCGGTCAGTCATCTCTCGTTTGTGGCCCTTTCATGTTTTCTTTACTATTTAGGTTACAGAAAATAGCTCCAAAATTGTGTTTGAATACCACACTTTCTCCTTTTCTCTTTCTGATCGACCAATAGAGTTAATTCGATACCAATTTTACCTCCAAAGCTAACAACACTATGGCTAAACTCGTGCACTTTCAAAGGGCTACAGAATAAAGAAACATCATTGACAATAATTTTGCGTTTTAATGTCTTTTTAAACGGTGACAACGGGCTTGAAAGGTTTTGTAACGTTGCAAAAGATGCAAAATCAATATTTCTTTTATTTTTTTTACCTTTTATGTTTATATCTTTTTAAATTTATTATATATATTTATTTATTTATAAGCTCTAGATCTTAAAAAAACTTACACTCGATTATATATATATAGCAAAAAAAATACTAAATAATACACTGTAGGAATACAAAACTCTTATCTAAACCAAACTTCTTTTGCACTCTTTTCTGTTCAAGCTTAGTCGTGAAAGATTTTGTAATTAACCTAAAGAGTTTCAAATAATTGTGGTTTGATTTTAAAATGGTCTTAAATTATTGATTTGTTTCTTCTCCAGAATTATGATGATTTCTTCGTATATATGATATATTTAATCTTTTTATTTTTATAAAGAATGTGATAAACTATGACTGATGAATCTGGATTTGTCTCATGAAAATATAAAGAATACGTTTTGCTTCAATATGTGTTAATAAATGTGTATGTTTGTGCAGTATGACGTTCTTCGTCTCAGTATTTAAGTACAATAAATTAATTTGATTTTAAGTATGCATACTATTTATGCTGCGAATCATAGTGTCATTCTAATTCAAGTGATTTAGACAGCCACAACAAAGCATATCCTTAAACCCTTAAAATGTTAGTCTAATAAAAAACTATCATCTGTGACATGTCTCCCACAAAATTAAGACAAGCCCATGTGATAAACAATTTTGATTATCTCATGAAAATGATTTTTCTGATGAGATTGTATAATCTTTTTGTTCCCCAAATCTAACCGAAATTAGTTCTTTAAGATATTAAAATGGATTCAACATTTGAGATACATTATTTAGGAAAATAATTAACGACATCTACACTAATCCAAAATTAAGTAACACCGAGTCCTTAAACTTCATCCATTCTTAGTAAGCACCATGTTTGATATAACCCAAAAAATAAAAAATAAAAAAAATCATCCATTAAGCTACTATAATTCAGTTTCAACTTTAATTAAGATTTGAACATAATAGTAGTAAGAATTATGATGTCGCTATTGTAGGGCCCTTTTTCCTCTTCTTTAGTTCCTCAGTTGGTGATAACGATTAATTAGAGATAGAACTCTTCTAAAATAAAAAAAAAAAAAAAAATATATATATATATATATATATATATATATAAAATAAAAATAATGTTTTATTTATTATTATTTTTAAGTTAGTTATATTTATAAATTATATTATTTGAAATTAATAATAGATAAATTCTTACTTCTTACTTTAAATATCTTCACACTCAAGATAAATTTAACAGTTAAATATATATTTTATATATAACGAATTCCAATACTTATTTGTGAGGTTTCCCTGTACATATAAATTTTGTTATCCCACCGATCTGTTGTTTTTTTATGTAAAAATTATATTGTAAAATTTAACACCTTGATTGATCCAATTTTTAAAATGTTTGGAATCAAGATGTTTTAAGAGATTTGATTTGAAAAAAAATTGCATATGAATATAAATCCCTCTCTAAATTTGACCGGAATTCATTGCTCAGAAAATCAAATTTTAAACAACAATACTACAAGATTTAAAATGAAATCAAAATTAATTTTTTCAATGACCTTTTATTTTTTATTGTCTAGATGAAAATATTCTTTAAATGAAATATTTATATTTGAGCTAATTAAAATTGCCGTGAGCAATAAAAGTTAATTTTTAAAAATATTAATTATAATTATATATAGTGAAACTAAAACTTAAAATTACCGGTTAAACTGAAATGACTTGTGAGTTTATGAAAGAAAATTGACTCTCAAGTATAATTAAATTAATTCAAGTTAAATAACTTGTTTATTTTTAATTATTCCAAAGGATAACACGGAATTGGATTTAATTTGCTACCACTGTATTGAAAATTTAAGCAGCAACGGTCAAATAAACTCTTGTCTGTATAAAAGATAATTGGTATGGTGTTGAAAAAATCAAATCAAAGAAATAAAAAAGAATAATAAATTGTATTTCAAAAATTCTGGCATATTAAAATCTGACTCATTTTGAGCCGATTAAAAATGCATCATGTTAGATTATTTAATATTTATATTTTAAACTAAATCGATCACACGATAATGTAAAACAAAAAATTAACGAATTTTTTCTTTAAACTTATTTCAGTTCAATAAATATAACCGGGGCATGTTTAAATTTGTGTTAAAAACTCTTAAATTCAAGTTTCGAGATGCAACCGTATTTTGAAATTCATGTTAATATATTTGATAATTCT